GCCTAGGCCTAGAGAAAGCTAATGATTTTGCTGGTTAGTGGCAAAGGTGGGATCCCTTGGGCTCCTTAATCCTTGACCAAACCAAACAGAGACACAAGGAAATTCTCTTAAGAGTTTTACATAGTATGTATAGCACTGAAATTTTTTTTTAACTTTAGAAAAATAAACTAAATTGTCCCCTTTTAGGCTGGTCTTAATCTTTGCAAAGTCAACAAGCACATAAAGTTTCCAGATGTGATAGATTTGGCTCCTTTTTGTACCATAAAGTGCAAGGTAAGTAAAAGTGGTCCTTATATTTAAATTATAGCTTACATTATCAATTTTGTTCATATAAGCATGATGTGTAGTTGTGGTTGGGGGAATGGGAGGTTTTTTAAGTTAAACAGTAAACCTAACGTTAGCCCTAAACAGAAACTTTGGATAGATCCTATATAGTTATGAGAGGATATGGAAAAGGTATTGGGTAGATCCTATATAAAGATATAGACAAGAGTGCTATTTGTCGCTAAAAGTTCACACCTTGCTGAGATCACAGAGCTCTGAGACCTTTATCTGATCTTGTTAATCATTTGAAAGGGTTATTTCTTTGATGAGTACTCTTAAGTCAGTGTATTGTCTTGACCAATTTAATAACATTTACTAAAACTAGTACACTTTTCAGATGAGTTGTGTTAACCCTAATTTGAAATGCTTTGAAATTGATTTCAATTCTTACAGAATGTTGCTGAAGGAAATACAAAAGTATTGTATTCTTTATATGGAGTTGTTGAACACAGTGGTACTATGAGGCGGGGGCATTATACTGCCTATGTGAAGACAAGAACTTCAAATAGTCATCTTTATAATCTTGTTCTTGATGGAACTAGTCCACAAGGTAAATATCTGGGAATATTTATTAGTACTTTAAAATAGGGAAAATACACCTGTATCTTAATCCTGTTTTAAATTTTCTTCTTGATAGAATTTGAAAATGAATCAGCGAAGGGGCAGTGGTTTCATATCAGTGATACACATGTACAAGCTGTGCCTGCAACTAAGGTTCTAAATTCACAAGCTTACCTCCTGTTTTATGAGCGAATTAATCTGAAAAATTAATTTGAAGAATTCCACCCCATGTTTGTTTGGTTTTTAATGGGAAAAAACAAAGACAACTTGAATCATGTTCACATAAATTTGAATATTCCAGAAAAGATAATGTGTCCTGGAATGATGCAGGGAAGACACTGAACAGAATCGCAAATGACAAATGTTTTGTTTCTGTCTGTGGTGGAGAGGAAAAATAAAGATACCATTTACTGGTTTAATAATTTTAAGACTATTAGTTTGCTGTGTTGAAACTTGGTTAGGATTAATGTCCTTAAATATTGCAAAACTTACACTAATTCATAAACACATGTTCCTCAGTGTGGTGACATTTACTATAAAAACTGGACAAAGGATTGATGAGGAATCTTGTGAAGTATCTGTGGATTCTTCATCTAGCATAATAGAATGAAATAATGGAATAGGTTTTATTTTGATGGTTTTTGGAACCGAGGCCTTGATTAAAGAGAGAGAGCCAGGGGCATTTATCTATCTACTCTCATAACCCCCTATCAAAATCAAAAGCGTGGGAGGAGAAAGACAAAGGGACCTGGGGAATAATTCCTCCAATCCATGTCTAGCCATGTCTGGCAAGACCTCTTTCCAGGAGAAAAAAGTGAGACAGGAAACAGAAATCCCAGAAGTGCAGCCCTAGGGACAGGGAGAAGACCAAAGCCCAGGGGAAATGCTTAAAGAGAAGCCCAGGTGGTTCAGATTTTTTGCTTTCCTCAGCAAAAAGTATCATACATTTATTACATAACATAACTTTAATTCATATACCTCAGACAAGTAGCTCTTTTCAAGGGACCTTACAATCTAAAAGAACTAATAGGATATGACGCTGGGAAAGGACCTTCTGAAGATATAGACTGTAAAGTGGAGGTATCGAAGCTGTTTGCTGGTTTTAAAAACATCAACATACGTGCAGTCATTTTCCACACTATCCACCACACTTCCAACCTGAAAGACTGACAATGGAAATATCCCTTCATTTGGACACAGAATACCCTTGGATCTGATACTTGGTCAAGTCACTTCCTTGAGCCTTCAGTTAGAACTTTAGGAAGCAGTAAAAAAATTCAACATTGAAAGGAAAATCTCTGGGCTAAGAAAAAAAATCTAAAAGTTTCTTGCCTTTTAAAATAGCAATAGCTGTGGATTTTGTTTCTAAAATGAATAACCTGGAGATTTCAAAAGTCTGGCTTCTACTAAGAAGTGCACAGATTATTTTTCAATCTTCACCTTTGTAAAATAAGGTAGTTCTAAACCTTTCAAATTTGTTTCATTTTTATATTTGCTCATGAATATTTTTATGCCTATTTTATAAGCCTAAACACTAAATTAAGTCATAAGACCACTGGAAACCTGGTAAGCCACACCTGCCACTTAATAGTAGCTTGAGAAAGTTACTTAACTTCTTTCGTGGAATCACATTTTCCTCATCTGTAGAATGCCATGAGAAACAAATAAAAATTCATTTAATGTTGAAAATCCTCAATCCACTGGAAAAGTGACACCATTTTGAAGACAGGCATTGCAGTTAAAATGGTCAAAACCACCCTTCCCCTGTAAAGAAGCAAATGTGGAAACAATACTGGCCATAAAAATTTGATAGTATTTATTTATCATCTTGGAATACAAACAGGATCTTTTAACTTGAGATGTTCAGTTAACCTGTTCAGTCATTTTGATCATCATCCCAATTCTTTTTTCCCGTTGGAGGTTTTGGCCCACCAGCTGGTCTTGCCATGATTATCTATTTAAAAAAAAAGAAAGAGAGAAGAAAATCTTTATGACATCAATATATTGTATATAAATGCAAAACATAATATAAAAAACCATTCTATATGAAACTCAACTGTATGTAAATCAGATAAAGTGAGACACTTTAAAGTTATTTCCCTTCCCCAATTTTATGTTAGCACAAAAAATTAACCTTGGCAGGTTCAATCATCATCATCCCAGCTTTATTTTGGAGCAAAACCTGGTATAGCATCTAGGATTTTATGGTATTAGAACTTTAAATCTGTCCACGAAGAGATTACAAAAGACTTAAATAGCTAATGATTACAAGTACTTTGAATAAAAGTTTCAGATTTCTTATACTTTTCAAAAAATGGGGCAACTTAGGTATCTCTAGGGGCACTCCTTGTTCTCTAAGATCAAAGACTTTGATTGCAAGATCTTTCAGTATCCTAGATAATCTGAGTACTCTCATCTCCTCACCTATCGTAGGCTCTTTTCTCTTAAGCTATCCAATAATGACCACATCACATCTTTCAAATTCCTTCACTTAAATTAGCTGAAATACATCCTGTTTTATAAATCCTATTTTAAGAGTTATAGAAAACACTTCATAATCTTTAGGGGAGAAGATACTCAATTTAGAAAATTAGTTTTTCAATTAATAGAATTTTTTTTCAACCCACCTGATCAACTCTGAGTACAGTAACTGCAGCATTAGTAGCCAACTTGATAGCCCAATATTTTCCAAGGTAAGTATCTAGAATGCCAGCTTCCAACACATCCTTTACTGCAGCAGTTTCAGCCTGCCAATAAAACAAAACTATGTTTATTCTTTTTCTTTCTAAACATGTACACACCCAAATGCAAATTATAAGCCACAAAAAACTCTTTTAAAATCATTATGTGAGAGGGTTTGTTATTTCTTAAAACAGTGAAAGCTGGATTCCTAAGTATCTTAGTAGAACCAACTGATAAAAATTAAATGTACTACAATTTTATATCACTAAAACTTCATTAGTCATGTGAATGCTAAAAGAGAGTTTTTACAGTTGTATACTCAAAAGAAAATAGTTGTCCTCCAACCTCAATATCTAATCCAACATTTTTGTTTCCTTCTTGGTGTACTGCATAAAGTTTAGAGATCACTTCATTAGCCTTAACTCCAGAATTTTCTGCCAATGCCCGGGGAATAGCTTCAAATGCTTCTGCAAATTTCTTGATGGCATATTGTTCGAGCCCAGGACATGTCTAAAACAAAATAAAATGTTTTAATATTTTAATTTTGGCCTAAGTAGAAATAAACAACAGAGAAATTGGCATACCTCTCCGTAAGATGTGATCTGTTTGGCCAATTCGATTTCTGTTGCTCCACCTCCAGGTACAAGACGCTTATCCTATAATGAAGCACATACTAAGAGTTCAAATTTGTAGTAGTTTGATATTTAGAATAAAGTCAAAAAGCTTCATTTCTATAAAAAAACAACTATTACAGTGCCCCAGCACAGGCAGGTTACCTAGCTAAAAGAAAACTTCAAAGCTATTGCTTGGGGGGAGGAAGGAGTGGTATATGATTGGAAATAAGGTAATGACAAGAAAAAGTGTCTTTACTACAGAAAATTATTTATAGAATTTTAGAGATATCAAGACATGAAAAAGATTAAATTTCTCTTAAACTAAATTTCACTAAGCAAGCTTGTTTTTACATACCCTTGTGAGAACTTTGAAAGTATTAACACCATCATCTACTGCCCTTTCTATGTCATCCATTAGATTATCTGTAGAACCTCGAAGTACTATAGTAGAAATGGCACCATCTTCCTTTTCTGTAAGAATTGAAATGTGGAGGTGTTTTGTTTTGCTTTTTTGAAAAGGTAGTGAAAAAACACTGTCAACCAGAAGCAATTATTCTTCAAAGGCATACTTACCATGCTTAAAAACAACCACTTGTGTGTCTCCAACCTCTGATAAATAAACACTGTCACAATGGCCCATTTCTTCAAGGACAGGGGGAGTCTGGAAAAAGAATTCTATTAATATAATCAAAGTAATAAAAAACATTCCAAACATGAACTTAAATCCAACTTACTTACCAATCTAGGAAGGGCAATAGCACCAACAGTTTTACACAGCCTTCGGAGATCCCATTTTGAATTCAACCTTTTAAAACAAAACAAACTTGTAACTGACTATTAACATACATAAAAAAGGTATGGCTTATAGACTACACATGCAACTGCAATTTTCTACCACAAATCCCCCCTAAAATATTTTGCAATGACACTCCAATGATAGAATTTTCTGGTGTCCTTCAGTTTATACTATTTGTTTCAATGCTCTACCATGGTTAGAAAAAGGGGGGGGAGAATTTGGTTTAAGAATCAAAGAACCTCTGTGTTCAAGTTTCATATCTGGCTTATACTCTCTGTATGACCTTAGACAAATCATAATAAACAGGTTCTTAGTTTCCACATCTGCAATATGGGGGTGGGGAACATCAAGTATGTTGGAGAGATGTCCTAGGTATCTTCTATCTCCAAATCTGATTCAATGAAAAGTTATCTGTACGTATGCCTTCACAGTCAGGGCATGTTCACACTTTGTTTACAAATTGTGTTCTTCACAACATCCCTCTAAGTAGTTCAATTATTAGTTCCTATTTTACAAGTGAAAAACTAAAGTTGCCCAAAGTTCAGAGGTATGATAATAGCTGGGACTGAAACCAATGTCTTCTGATCCTCTGTTTAGTGCTCTTTCTATTACTTTCCCAGAATTATTTTTTCTCCTGAAGTTGTCATGTAGCAGCAAATAAAAGTAAAGCTCAGTGTAACAGTAAAAGGAACTCATGTTCAAACAGGGCCTTATTTGCTCTGTATTTGGAGCAGCATACAACACTTCCACGCATCAAAAACAATGAGAAAGGGAAAATGTGAAAACACCAAAGATATAAATCACAGAACTTATATGGAGGATTGAGAAGTTCTATCTCTAAAGATGTGCTTGTTTGAGTGGTCAAAGCCTATATATGTATCAGGAAAGTATAAACTCTGATTCAACTAAGGCAAATTCTAAGCTAGAAAGACTTCAAATATGTTACCCATACAAAGTAGTATTTTTGCCTACTGTCCCAAGACCAGCCTAGTTAGGCATAAAGCTAACTCACTGATAGGATGTTTGTCACTTTGTGAAGAAATATCTTGCCATGGGAATCCATGAAAGAAAGAAAAATACAAAATTATTCTGTCTTGTACAAATTTCTAGTTCTTCAGTGAGGGTGGCAGAGCAATGGAAAAAAGGCCAAGGGGTGCGAAAACTCACAATTTTCAGACTCTGAATTGAACTACTGGTAATGTAAATATAAGATCCTTGTTCATCAACCTAGTTGTAATACTGAACCCCATAAATAAAATTCATAGACTACATAAAGCTGAGGAGAGATATGAATGAGACAGAAACTAAAAAAGGTCTTCATGGGCCAGCACACTGGCCTGAAATGAATACGCTCAAATATAAAAGGGTTAAATGTAACGTTTTACATGGATTCCAAAACACAAGATAGCAGTGACAGGACTTTATAGAAGTCTGTTTAAAAAAGATCTGGTCATTTTTAGCAGGGTGTAAGCTCAATATATGAAATGATGCTATGATATGGCAGTCAAAGTTAATGTAATTTTAGGCTACACTAAAAAAGACACTGCTTAGCACTAGGCAAGTGGTAGGCTCACTTTCTCACATTCATTATTTGCTTTTCCAGGGAAAATCCCCATTTAGCAGCAACTTCATTTCTTTCTGCTTCATTAAGAACTCATACAAAACAAGATTTCAGCAATTATGCCTTCTCTCCATTGACTTTTGGCAGTTTGGTAAGCAAACATCAAAAAGCATCACCAAAAAAAACAAACAAACAAACAACTAAATACTTGTAACTTGACAGGAAACAAATGGCAACCAGTGGGGGATTTATTTCCAAACTACTAGTTTGTGTGTGAGCTATGAACATGTTAGAGCAAAAGTCAAAATCAATACCAAATCAGAAGACTAAAGATGAGAAGACACTAAATGGAATTGCTACAGCTTCAGTTGCTATTCAAAAAGCAGAAAAATAATGAAACAACAGTAACAAAGACCATTACAATTTCCTATTAAGTTTAACAAGGAGACTAAATAATCCCAGGAACTGCCTTGACCCTTTAAATCTGTTTACCTGTTAAGCAGGGATATAGAAGGCAACAGCAACACCAGTTCAGAAAACTACAACCAACTGCCAAATCCAGCTAGATTCTTATTTTTGTATAGCCCATGAGCTAAGAAATGTTTTGGGCTTTTTTTTTTGAGTTTTTAAAAAAAACCATTTGATAATGTTTATGAGAAAATTTAAAACACTCTTAGTTCACAACCCATAGGTAGTCAGCTTTCATATACAGAACTGAAGAACAACAGATGAACAAAAATTAAACAGATATGTCAGAATTTCATCATCACTATTAGTTCCACAATCCTTTTTAGTCAAGACTAGTTTTAATTAGAATAGAAGATTTTCGATTGACACAGCTAAGTAGGAAAAAAGTTCTATTTTATAAAATTACCTATGTCATCCGGAAAATGATGGCTTTCCTGAAATTCACTGCTTTTTAGAAGGTTCCAATATATTGGGAAAATTACTCAGTAATGGTTATCTTGTACAATACCCCCTTCCAACTCATATACATAAATATCTATAGGCAACATTTTGTGAATAATTTTTTTTGCCATATTGAGTGGATTAAGTATGCCTATTGACCAGACTACTGCATGCATCTGATGGGTAACCCAATGAATTATTCCATTGCTTGCAGGCACTGTAGATGAATAAATAAAAAAGCATTTCTTAATGCAAATTACAAAGGGGGAGGAACTCATGTAAGATAGTTCAGCGTCAGGGCATATGGAAAGGCCTGGGAAATCCTAAGGGTACAGCAATAAGGTGGATGTCAAAGCCCAAAAGTCTTTAGAGTGCATCAGTAGATCAGATGACTGCTCAGAAGACCTTAGGACATGGTGGTCCTCCAACACAACAGGAGGATTAGAATTGATATTTCCCATTTCATCCAAGAGGTGTGAGCAGCAAGTTCCTGTTCCACCTCGTGGAATTTGTATGCATGGGTCAGGGTATGGGAGCACATGGAAGGGTAGTCATTAAGCTGGCCCAGAAATGAAGAGGTGTGGACTGCATTTGGGCAACTGTACATCACTTTAAATGATTCCAAGCTGTTTCCTGATAGAAAAAGCACCAAATAATATCAGTATTCTTCAGATTATGCTATATGGCTACAAATCATGCAATACCACAATTAAGAATCAAAACTCCAAGTGACTTAAAGGGCATAAACTGGTTGTATCATATTACCAACAATGGCTTGTGCGTAAGAAGTATATTACACCAAGGAAATTTATGATTAGAAAATGGGGTGGAGCTGGGTTGTTCATGGGACAAAGTGAGGGATAAGAAGACAGCCTAAATTATGCTGGTACCCTATTTAGCAGCTTTCAAAAACTGGGAGGGGTGGGGGTGGTAAGAAGAGTCCCTAATTCCCTTTAAGGGGGTCCAAAAGGTTAAAAACTAATTTCATAATAATACCAAGACACTGTAATTTCTAATATGGTAAATAGTAATAGGTCTAACCCATGTAATTAACAAAAGCTCATGGGAGGAGGGAGCAAAGGACTCATTTTTAAGAGTAAAAGGGGTCCTGAGACTCAAAAATTTGAGGACCATTGTTCTACAGGGAAACTTCAAGCTTGTTGGGTACATCTTCTGTGTAGGATTTGTAGAAGGTCATTGACAAGAATCAGTCAGTGATCACTGGTTTCATACACACTCCAAATATACTTTTTATTTTTTTTCGCAATGAAGTAATGTACAAGTGACCTTTCTTAAAAAAATAGAAAAAGGCATTCAATTCTTACCTGACCAACATTATATTGTATTTGTTAGCATAATGAAGAGCCATATCTGCAACTTTGCCACCTGTTACTATTACATTTGCACCAGAATCAGCAATAGCCTTAACTTGCGAATCCATAAGATTTTCTTCTCCTTTGCTAAAATTCATTAGTTCTTCTGCAGTCTTTATCAGTACTGTTCCCTATCAAGATAAAATTTTATTTAAAGTATGAAAAACCATTTAAAATATTTTATTTCATATGAAATTTCTTATTTGTATATTCTGAAACACAACTTGGTTCTTTCCCCTCCATGTCTGTTATAGAAAAAAAGCTGCACAAAAAGACCCTATGTTCCTCAAACTTCAATCTCATGGGCCAAATAATTCTTAAGAATTTCACAGATTCTCAAGATCACAGAAACCCTAGAACTCCTGTGAAGAAATTCAAGGATACTGCTGAAACTTTGCAGTAAAGGGAGTAAGTATGTACCCTGGCCCTACAAGTTTATGCAAGCCTTATATTAAAATGTATGCTATTATTTTGTATAATTTATATTGTATATCATTGTATACTATTCTCTTCAAGGAAATGCTACCTGCACAAAACAAAAAGTTACATTAATCAGTCATGTCCCTTTAAGATACCCACAATAACCCCATGAAGTATATGCTAATTATTATCCCTATTTTGCAGATAAGGAAACCGGGTCAGAAAGAGATTAAGTGACTTGCTCAGGGTTACAAAGTTATTAATTGCCTGAGGCAGAATTTGAATTCAGGTCTTCCTGACTCCAGGGGAGTCCATGGGGAACCTAGCTGCCTCTAAAAGACTGCACCCAGTTTTTTAAATTAACATTCTGGCTATGACTTTAGAAAATTAGTGCACATCTCACAAATGAATCTTTGAGACCATTAATTCCTAAATTGAAGCCTACCTACCTTAGTTTCAGTTATCATGCCATCAAAAGGACAAGAATACACTGCTATTTTAGCATCTTTCACTGAAGTTACATCACCTTCAGTTTCTTTCTTAAAAACCATACCATGCAATACTGAAGAGGAATGGATGCCAGAGCCCTGTGAAAGAAAATATCTTGAAATAACAGTGTCCTGAAACCATACACCTATGGGTAGGATATCTAAATGAACTCTTCAAAAACATATGAACAAATATAGTAAAACATAATTAGCTAGGAACCAAATGAACTAAATAATCAGAATGCTCTCCTCCTCAAAGCATTGTTTAACGCAGCTCCAATGCATTGAATAGATAAAGCTTTAACATGCTTCAATTAACTTGATTTAAATTGGTGTGGTAGTCCCTTCAAAGACAGATCATAATTCTTCTATGACCCAGAAGAGTTGCTATTTTACATGAAAACAATTTATTACTCCACAGTGAATCTGATGATAAAGCTCTCTGAATTTAGCTAGTCTAATCTTAAGATGTCAGATGTAGTCCCCTTCCAATCTGGAAGTCTAACAGAGCTTACACTCCACTGGCATGGCCTTTAAGAACCATCATACTATGATTAGCATTAGAGTAAAACTTAATGTACAGCAGACATGTACTGTTTTATTATAGTGAGATGTCAATCTGCCAACTTCAGCTCCATTCTAGATCAATTTGCTGGTTTAATCCAACAAACATTACAAAAAACAAAAACATGACTTTTAATGTCTGAATACAAAAATGTAATTAAAAAAACCTAACAACAAACTTATAGCAATCCAAAAATGGAGATGTAAAATTACCATATTTTTAACTAAAGGCTAGAATTTCTGAAACCTAAAAATACCCAAATGTTGTAAGGTAATATCCAAATAATAAGAAGTAACTGGGGCTTGAACACAAGCATGACACCAAAATCAGTGGTATCTCCACTATGCTATTCAGGTTATCATAATCTCTGGTGGAGAATTTCTCAATAAATCTCAAAATTAAATACATGAAGGCTATTTTGGTTAAAACAAAAAGTTACATAAGATTGGTTTTCCTATAGTTAAAGGTAAAATTCAACAAACTGTTTTACTAAATTAAAAGGAAATGATTTTCATAACTCACCAGAATTTTACACACTCTGATATTATCAACATTAAAGTGACCAGAATCAGGAAAAATAGATACTGTTGAAGAAATAAGATTATACGTCAAATCATTTAATCAACAAGTATTTATTAAGCACACCACTATGTGCAAGGCATGACTGAGATACAAGTTCAAAGAATGAAACAATCCTCACTCACAGGGAACTTAAATTCTCATGAGGTAGACAATTGTGTGTGTGTGTGTATATACACACACAAACATATACAGCATAAACACAAAATAAATAAATGCAAATATATACAAAGTAGAGTTTGAGAGAGAAGGCACTAGGCAACTTGAGGGAGAAGGGGAACAAGGGAAGGCTTCACGCAAAAGACAAAGCTTGAGCTGTGTCTTAAAGGAAGAAGTGGGCTCTGTGAGGCAGAGGCAAGGAGGAAGTACATTCCAGCTATGGGGGAAAGGAGTGAGGGATTCACTGAGAAAGCATGGAGACAGAAGATAAGAGTGTCACGTATGAGATGCACAGACCAGGCTAGTTTGGCTAGATCAGAGAGCAGGAAGGAGAATAACGTCCAATGCGGCTAGAAAGATAGGTTTGGGCCAGGTTGAGAAAGGGCTTAAAAGCTTTAAAAGAAAAGGGGTTCTCAAGCCAGGGCATAAAGCAAAACAACAGCAGACAACAAAACAGAAACAAAACTACCACCAAAATTACCCTCGAAAATCCCTAAAACCATCCACAAAAATATGATATCCGATCCCTTTAAAATAAGGCAGTCTATAAAGAGAACAGATGGTTCTGAGATGGTTGCTCCGGAAACAACTGTAGACAAGAAAACGTCACTGGGGGAAAATACTCTTGAAATGGCTTCACATGTAAGTGTGATTTTATTAAGGAGTAATTCATTACACCACCATAGAGCTTTTTTACTCCTGTTTCACTGTGCAGCAAGAGAACACAAGAACTTAAAAGAACACTGGAGGAATCTTCTGGCTAACCAGGAAGGAAAGGTAGGAAAGCAAACTAAAATTATCCTACTTCTAACAAACTGTCTAAAGCAGGGGTGGGGTACCTGTGACCTTGAGGCTCCATGTGTCCTTCTCGGTCCTTGGGTGCGGCCTTTTAACTGAGTCCAAGTTTTACAGAACAAATCCTTTTAGTAAGGGGATATGTTCTGTGAACTCTGGATTCAATCAAAAGGCAGCAACTGAGGACCTAAGGGTCACAGGTTCTTCTCCAGAGCACAGGTTTCAAACATGCAGCCCAAACCAGATTAAAATGTAAGTGGAAAATATTTAAAACGAATAAAAATACAGCAGATAATATATTCTGAAACTAAGTTACTACACTGCCCCCACAGGGATCCTGATTCAGAGATCCCCATTTCTATTTTAGTTTGACACCACTTGTCTAAGGGTATGAAAGATTCTTACTGCAGTGAAATGCTCACATGAGAGATGCATGAGTGAACTAAGACTGAGAGAAAAGAAGATTCTTGGCTCCCATCTAACATTCATTCCGGGACATTCAGTCATTTGAATGTTTTCCCCCTTTGGTAACCCCCTTTTATAGCTCAAGCATACATGCATGTGTATGTAATCCACTATTATTTTTACATTGCTCAAAATCATCACATCACTCTCAATTTTAACAACCAAATTAAACTATAAAGTATTGAACTTTTGGAGGAAAAGAGCTGTGTGAGTTCATTAAAATTTACTTACCACATGCCTGGGAAATAAGTTTTGCCAAAAAGACTTCATTTCCATACTGCTTGCTCATAATGGAGGTCTGAAGCAGAGATGCTACTTCATCAACATCTCTAAGATTTTTTGCAGAACAACATACCAAATCAGGAAGAATTTCATGGGCTTTCCTGCAAGCTATTTCATAACCTTCTATGACCTAAAATATGAAGGACAGTAATTATCTTCCCAAACAATAAATGAACCTATGATCTTAACTTGCTATTGTGACTTCTTTTTGATTTGTTATTTTGATGCTCTGATATGTGCCAGGTGGCTAGATCACTCCACAAAATGCCAGCGCTGAAGCCAGAGCAGGAGAAACAAATGTAGAAAAGAAAACATCATTGGAGGAATATATTCTTGAAAATGTTTCATGTATAAAGTGTGATTTTATTAAGCATAGAACCTGGAGACTTGGAAAAGGTCTGCTACCAACATCTGATTAGGGCTTCTTAAGGCCACAGCAGGTGACGAAGCCAAATTCAGGTTCTAGATTGAGCAAGGAGAAGGGACTAAGGCCAAAATCTGAGTCAAATCCCCAAGAGACTAAGCTAAAAGTCAGGCATGCCTGTAGACTGGGGTGAGGGGCAGTGTGGTAGGGCTGCATAATCTTACAAAAGCAGAGGCAATGGTATTTAGATCTCAGGAGACAGGACCTGGGCAAGGCCTGCCCACACCATCCAAGAATATGGAAGGGAGTGCAAATCTGACCCAAGAATCTATTTCCCATCAAGAACTGAGGTTAAATACATTAGTAAACCGAAGAAAATGTTTAATATAATAAAGAAACACTATGAATTAAGAGAAACCAAGGGGTAAACTGGAAAAAGTCAGGAGTTCCAAAACAAGTTCAAATAACACCTCAGGGAAAAGAATGGTTTGACCCCAAGGGCAACAGTACCAGGAAGAAATGAAGCAAAAAGAAATCCATGGGGAAAAAAAATTGGAAGAGTATTTTAAATAGCTTAGAATAAAAGGTTTTTATCTTATAGGCAATAACCTGAAAAAGAGAATACAACTCAAAGCCTCCATGAGACAAAAATAAATATTAGAACAAAGACATAAGACTTAAAGAAATGTAATTCATCTACCATCAAAAACCAGTGATTTGGAAAACAGGTCAAGGAAATTTTAACACGTATTCCCTAGAAAACATGAACAAACAAACAAACAAACAACAAAAAAACAAAACCCTGAACAACATACCTCAATAAATCATAAAAGAAAATTGCCCAAATATATTAGAACTAGGGAATAAAGTAAAAATAGAAAGAATCCACTGGTTACCTCCTAAAACAACAAAATGAAAGTCAATCAAAATCCTGAGTTTCCAGATTAAAGAATACAATCCTGAAAGCTGCCAGAAATAAAGAATTCAAACACCAAGGATCACACAAGCTACCTCTACAGAGGAGAGATAGAAATGACATTCCAAAAGGCAAAAAGATGAAGGCTTATAATTAGGAATAATATTCTATCAAGCAAAATAAAATTTTACAGAGTAAAAAGAAAAAAAAAAACAACCAGACTCAACATAACAGGCTACTTTCAAGCATCTGAACCCAAGCAGGGCAGAATCTTAGAAACGACAACACCAACTATAAGAGCAAACTTTCTAAAATGTAAATACATTTTTTGAGCAACCAAAAAGGACTTAAATAGTTGGAAAAAGTGATGATATGAGGAAGAAGAAACTTGTATAACTGGAGTACTTGGTAAGAAGACTATACAAACACAGAGAAGGAGATATTGTGCTTCCCATAACCTCACTTTCATCTGAACTGGCCAACAGAGGGTTGAACAGAGTTTGGTGTAGAAATTAAATTCAACCAGTCAAGTAAGGACAGGGAAGAAATACTCACAAGCAAAGCAAACTTTAGAGGGCAGATTGTAATAGGATCAAAAGTAAAGAAACAATAAGAACCAGTGATTAGGATCTAGACTAGGGGAAGAAAGGAGAATCAGTTATAGATAGCTAATATTGACCACATTTCTTCTCTTTTACTACCTTCTTGAGTACCAAACCAGTTCTTGGAAAGCAACTTATTTCTTTAAACATTTTCGCTAATTTTCAACTTCACAGTCTCCAACTTCAACACAAAGGTTAACCATTTAACTCTATATAGTCCTTGAATCCTTTGCCCCCTGTGTCTTATAGCTGTTCTTCTCTGTCCAGTCAGTCCTGCCTTAATACATCCTCTGAAAACTGAAGGAAATGCCTCTAATGTCTTCATGAGGCAATCTCATGTTTGTGTATCCATCTGGAGAATATTGTGGTGTACAGTGAGATGTGGTCTACACCTAATCTCTGCCAAACTGCTTTCCAGTATGTCCATCAGTTTTTGTTGAATAATGAGTCTTTACCCTGGATGACATCACTGGATTTATTGATCATTATGCTACAACGTTCAATGCCTTCTTCATTTTGTGTAGCTTATATCCTTTATTGATCAACTTTTCCGCTTGGAGTAGTTCTAGTATTATGAAGTTCGTATCCTTTTCATGTGTATTCATTATTTCTCCTGAGATTCTTGACCACTGTTCTCTAGATGAATGATATTTTTTTTTAGAATTCTGTACAGCATTACTTTTGGTAGTTTGGCTGTTATCACACAATCTGTAAATTAATTTACATAGTATTACAATTTTTATCATGCGTAACACAGCACTATCATGAGAAATTAATTTCTCTCTGATTATTTAAATGTTCCTTTATTCCTGTAAGAAGTATTTTGTAATTATACTAATTCCTGTGAGAGTCTTGCTAGATGTACTCCCAGATAGTTTACTTGTAATGTAGTTATTTTGAATAGAATTTCTTTTTGTCACTCTGAATCAAATTTGTTAATACACAGAAGCATTGGTGATTTTTGTGATTGTATTCTTATATCCTTCTTTACTAAAGCTGACAACTTTCTGGTTGACTCTAGGTAGGGTTTCTCATAGACTGTCGTCATCTGAAAAAAGCACTAATTGTGTTTTCTATTACTATTCCTTTGATTTCTTTCGTCTTACTGCTATAGTTATCATTTCTAAAACTATGTTAAATAACAGTGTTGGCAAGTAACATTCTTGTGCAGAAAGATTCATGTTTATGGATATGACCAACGTGGGAATTTATATTGTTTGAATGTACAATTTGATTATAAAGGTTTTGTTTCTTCTCTTTTGGAGGAATGGAACAAAAGAAAGGCCAAAAAAATCTCAACCAGAACAGGTTTTTATCTATAAAGGAAAAGCAAGCTCTACATAATAAAGATGCAGTTTCATTTATAATCCTTTTCTCTGTTCTATAGCATATGTGGAAATGCTTACTGCCGTTTTAAGTTCAAAAATTGTAAAAAGAAACGAGAAAAGAGAATATAATACATTTGACTAAAATACAGTAGAAAAAGGATAAAAGATAGTCTTTCTTTGCCTCCAATGTTATTGGAAAAACCCCTGACGTTTTTCCATTGCAGATAATTCTGGTTGTTGATTTTAGATAGATATTATTTACTATTATAAAGGAAACTTCATTTGTTTCCTATACCTTTGTTTTAAACAAATGGGTATGGTATCTTGTTAAAAGCTCTTTTTACATATAATAACGTGATTTTTAAATGATTTTGTTATTAATATTGTCACATTTACAATTTTTCTAATAGTAAACCAATCCTACATTCTTGATACAACTCCAATCTTGTCAATGATGTATAAATTTCTTAATATTTGGTTATACCTTCTTTGCTAAACATTTTATTCAATTCAATGTATTTTTGCATTCATACTCAATGAAAAGATTTTTCTTTAATCTTCTAATTTTTCTCCTATATAAATGATTATCATATTATCACATCTGTACTATAAAAGTCTGGTACAATGCCATCTTTCCTGATTTTTGCAAATAGTTTATAATACATATAATATATATATAATATGTATATAAAAACTGGAGTTAATTATATATCCAATATATTTCTTTTTTATTCCACTGAGTATTTATTAAGTACCTACTCTGCTAGAGGTAAGAACAGAGAATGAAATAATGCTTACTTGCAGGAAGCTTAAATTCTCATGGGAGAGACAAAGTACATATAAAAACACATATAGCAAAAAGAGTAAATGTATATATTCAAAAAGAAGTTTGGGAGAAGAGGGTACTAGTAATTTGGGGAGAAGAGATGCAGAAAATGGAGCTTGGAGAGGATCATTAATTTTTCAGGTACTGGGGAAAAGAAGAGAAGATGACATGAAGGCGTTTTGAGATAAATAGAATGTGTAAAGAGGGAGCAGTTCATATTGAATGGTTTCTTCCCCTTCCCCCCAGTTAGAGATAAGGACCTTAACTAAGGGTGAGCTGAGAGAATGGTGGTGAGGATCTTACGGAAGGAAGAAAGGTTTGAAATAGGGTACGAAATAGGGAACGAAATAGGGAGTCTTCTAGAGAGAAACAAAAAGACTTCCTTAATGTATTGATGGCCCAGCTGAGATTGGATTATAGCATGATGTTCAATAAATCCAATGATATCAACCAGAGTAAGACTCATTATTCAACAAAAACTGATGGCAAACTGGAAAGCAGTTTGGCAGAAATTAGGCTCAGACCACATCTCACCATACACCACAATACTTTCCAAATGGATACACAACCCAAATATAAAAAATTACATCATGAGCACATTAGAGGCACAGGGAAGGAGATACCTTTCCCAACTGTGGATAGGGGAAGAGCTCTTGATCAAACAGGAGAAAAGAGATCATGAGAAGATAAACTGGACAATTTTGATTACACAAATTTGAAAGGCTTTTGCACAAACAAGATCAATAAAATCAGAATTTTTCTGCATTGTCTCCTTCTAATTCTCTGATAAAGGTACACTTAGTGAATTAATATCGTTCCCCAATAGATAAATGGTCAAAGAAAATTAACAAGCAGTTCTCAAGAGAAAAAAAATGCTCCAAATCATTAACAATAAGAGCAAAGC